CTGACACAAAATCCCCGCGATGCGAATTCCAATGGGACTTAACCAATAAAAATAGCTTTAAAACGGTAAATTATATATAATGGTAATCTGAGTGGATTCTAGTTCGGAAGAGTGGGGATGAACCATTGTTGGGGTAGTTGTAACATGTTAGAACTCCCAAGCATGATGTGAGGGTTCGAAATGGTGTCATTTCTACAGTACATGTGCTATATAAATACCAACGCGGAAACTTCAAATATCGGTTTCAATCGGAAAATCCTCTTCCAAATCCTTCGAGATGCACGGTAATCTGCAGCAGCGTGTGTGTGTGTGTGTGTATGTGTGTGTGTGTACCATCTGAACAGATGTAAAACTTCTGATTGGTTTTCACTAATTTGCAGGGGGCCACGGCTCCATTCATCAGTCCGTGGCCAACGAAGCTACTGATGTTTGGAGAGGATATGCAGTCTGATCAACTGCACGTACCTGCTTTTTTCGGACATAGCAAGGGGCCAAGCTTAGAACCCCAACCACAATATTATACAATTTGCTGCACTGTTGTCGCAATCTGGAATCAATTTTGAAATTTACATGCATCAGAACCTTCCTCAGATTTTCGCCGAAACCATATCGCCGACAGTATTATGTTTTTTGACTTATTTTCGCCGAGATCCTGTCGCCGACGAACTATGGGTTATTTTGGGAAACAATCGCCGAAACATTATTTTGGATTTCAACATGCTGGTCAAAACTCTATGGAATCTGGTTATGACTACGTTTGACAATTTCGGATGCCCTACATCGTTTGCGAGAAGTACCTCATGTGGCTCTTTTATTCATCTAATAATCTAGGCTGGTTTGCATGTTTCAGGATTCAGTTCCTGCCGGATCATATAATGATCCATTCTTGTCTAGTGTGATTTCCATGGTGGCTCCGACATGGTGCCATGGAGCCATTGGAGGCAACCCTCTTCAGGGTGAGTGTTGACAGACTTGAATTCTGAATTTACACTTTTCAACTCAGTAATTCATTTAAGTAAAGTGCAACAGCCAGCCTTTCGGTTATTCGCCTTTTGTGATGTCCCGCCGCTCCTATTGTCCCAGGGACCCCAGTGCTGCGTTCTTTCAAGGGAAGCCATTCCGAATGTTCTGAAACCTCCGTTTTTTGCAGCTGATTTGCAACACCGTTGCATCAAATCATGACAGAGAAATCAGGCAGGCACACGACTTTCAGGTGTGGTGATCCTTTCTTTTGATGGTTGTCTGGTGAGGTGAAACATATTGTGCACCTAATTCGTTGGAACTTGAAAGCTGTTTTATGCCATTGCGGCACGACTTGACCACGGTCCCGGTGCAGGGAATAATTGCACGATTTTGTAGGTAGTTAGGGACTGAATCCTGTATGTGAAACTTTTTACAATTGTCCACTTTTGTTTTGACCTACTGAAGCGATGCATCCGTGGAACACTCCAACATCATGGCCTGCTCCACCACAGCCTTCGAACCCATCTTCGACGTGGCCGCAATCGACACCGAGTGCACATTTATTTGGACATCCCTCGGCTTTGCATCCTACATGGTCATCCTCCGCTTCGCTCATGCCGTCTACATCCGCCCCAACATCGTTGCCGTTCACCTCATTGACTTCGGCTCCTCATGCAGTACCAGGTCCACAACTTGTACCCACCATGCCTTCACCTTTGGCTCCTGAACCAACTATGGTACACACCGCTCCGTCGACTTTTCCATCTCCTATGGCACCTACCGCTCCACCCGCGTGGCCTTCCACTTCGGCTCCATCCCCTACATCGACTACACCACCTACATCGACTATGACACCGACTCCTTTGCCCAGTTCTCCATACCCACCTCACCACATTCAACCTCCATTACAGATGGACGCATCGACGATCCCTCCAAATGAGCCTTCACCACGGCCCCCAGCAGTCAAAGCAGCTCCCAGGCATCGCTCTGACAAAAGACCGGATCGACCGCGCAGACCAGCTCCGAAAACCCCTCCTCACGCTACACCATCGACACCTCAGACAGCACCGACTTCATCCGTTCCACCTGAACTTGCATCCCTGGGTTCCACCGCACAACAACTGGCCGAATCTGTTCGACTTATCCAAGCTCAGCAACTATTACTCATGGATTCTCAACGGGCACAAGAACAACGTCAACTCCTTCTTCAACAAGATGAACATCCACCGAATCCTACACCACAGATACCGCCACCTACACCTACACCACCACTGATCGCCACGCCTCCACCTGCACCAAAGGCCAGACCCACCGAACCGGACGTTCAGGACCATCGCATTGTCCCAGCTCCAACCATCGCTCCTCCTCACCAACCACACGGTCCACCACCACCAACACGCCGACCACGATCCCGAACTCCAAGATCACGTTCCCATCGACCTTCTATACATTCCTATCGCCTTCGCCATTCTCCTCCACGTACAGAGCGACCTCGTTCTCCTCTCCCTCGTCATCGATCATCTACGAAAACCGACAAGAGCCGCAGAACACCATCTCCATACAGACGACGCTCACCACCACGACGCCGCTCTCCTGTGGTCCCTCGACGTCACCGCTCCCATCCACGCCCACGCTCCGCGACACCACGTCACCGATCCCGAGGCCGTGAAGTCATACTTCGACCTGCTGCAAACCCATCCAATCCGAACTACATTCCTACTCCTGATGCTGATGACACCTGGGGTACATGGAACGAAAGCCACTACAACGACGCCTACGACCACCACACTGCTCGACCCAATTCTCCTACTGATCCACCACCATCGGAACCACAAACCAACCCACCAACCCACACTTCAGCACCACTCGGCGCGGTGTCCTTCCGAGTTCCGGACGGCGACAGTGAAAATTCTGAGGTTGCTGATACCATTTCGCTCACCAAGTTTGACACGAATGACATCGACCTCGATGAAATGGTGGCGGCGGCCAATGACCCCCATAGAGTTCGATGCCTGACCGAGCTTGGCCCCGATCATGTTGTTCCTCTACGCCAATCATTGACCCCGGCTATCTTGCAGCTCTTCAACCAGTTTGTGGACGCGATGTTCGAACAGTTGGCTAAACCATACCGCACCGTCAACAACCATCGTATTTGGATCAAAGCCAGCCAAGCCACCGTCAGGAATATTGCCAGGGCCTTTGCACAATCCGACTTACTGGACATCGAACTTGCAAAGCAAACACAAGCCTTCTATATTGAACCAGAGAACTTGCTGACCATCACGGTTCCCACAGGATTGAAGAAGAAACCAATCTACCGTGGCGAACACATGGGCACCTACCTGATCTACCACAAGACAAGTTGGGAATCAGTTGCCAAAATTCTTGCTGAAGACTGCATCCGCCCGGCAACTTGGACAAAAAACGAAGCCGGTATACCGACCCAATACCCGTGTTACGGGTTCTTCGGAATGTCCTCTGAGATCGCAGACACCGACAACCTACCCGGCTATGCTGTCAGGATTTGTACCTCTCAGCTCTACAAAATAGGCAAAGGACAAACCCCATCAGGCCTGCTGGCCATATGCCGCTCACCCAAATGCATCCGTGCCCTAGCTGGAGGAAATGACCAAATCCAACGCTTGTGCAACCTTGCGGGCATCGCCAAGGGCAAAGACAATGCAACGGCTATGAACTCAAGCGCTGCATCTATATGCTACGTCGCCTCCACTCACCAGGTTTTCCCGGGCTTGATCACACACCAGACTGCGGAGACCAATGCACCTTCGGAACCTCCTGATGATTCTGCACGTCCAGTACGACCTGACCCTTCTGCCGACGCCCCAGAACCTTCGGAGCCGGCCCCGGACGACTCTCACAATACACCGAGCCGCCGCGAGACTGCTACCTCTGGCTCCCGGGACTATGCTCGCCGATCTTGGCATGACAATGCTGCTTGGAACAATTCCACCTACAGCCGCCGAGATCGCCGATCCTCATATTATGACGACCATTCTCGCGACCAGCACCATGAAGGCCGACCTCGTTCTCGACATTCGACCCACCACTCCAAATCTCATTGGTGAATTCTTTACCCTTGAGGAGTACCAGAACAAGTATCGACTATTCTACGTCGGCGATCCAGTGAGCCTAGTGGCCCTGCCCGATTATTTTGGAGTAACAATGCTTCTCCCGACATTCGGTACTGCTGCCACTTCTTCCTCAAAAGGTTTGTGACTCGCTGCATGCTCATATTGTGGATCCTTGCGCAAGATTCGTTTTCACCTTATGTTTCACACACTGGAACCTCGTATTATGTTTCACTTTTTCACTCGCACACTATCCTTGTCTCACCCTGACATTTCTCGCAGCTTTCATTCGGCAGTTCGAGCGCATTTTGACCTATTGTCTCGTGACCCTCTCTACCTCATGGCGTCCCAGGACCTGATCTCCCAATACAGCGCGGATATGAATGGAATTCCTCCTTCCCAGCCGGATCGCTCGCGCACACCCCCTCGTCATCCACATGGTTGGCACCAAGCAGTACCGGCGTTCCGTGGCCCGATGCACTATGCCATGACGACCCATCGACCCTTTTGGAACCCATCCGGAATACCGCCTCCACCGCCTACGTCTCCATCGTTCCCAACACGCCCACCATGGACTTCCCCTACGGCACCTTTTCCGCCCACGCCGCCTCCGAGCTCACAGACACCCCCCAACAACGCCAGTTTTGCACCTCAACGTCACCCTTTTACACCGAGATCACCGAGACCTATGTCATCCCCAGGAGCAAGTTCTTCTGTCAACGAAGGATATACATGCAGACCAATTGAAATCCCACCAGTTGAGAATTGGAAACCTGATGTCGACTTCCACGACTCCAACAAGATCAATGGTTTGGACTTCCCTTCTAGAATCCGACAGAGCAGATTTTCAAGCTACAAGGACATTGAAGGGATGGATCCTTTACAAGTCCCACTCTGGAAGTTCTTGTACCAGGGCTTACACAATACTTGGCTTCGCCGAGTTGCATA